CCCCCCCCAAAGCCATTTGCTTCAGCGCTTGTTTGCAAACAAGCAGCAGGGACACCTAGAAATAAGATCCTTAACTAGCTTCCACCAGTCTTTATCATTTTCCCTCTAGCAAGGGGGACAGGTAAGCTCAAAGCTTACTGGGAAGGATGTGGGGACCAGGGAAGGGAGAAAAGCCTTTTTGAGTTGTAAAAGGTGTTATGGCAGATCCATGGGGTAAATAACAAAGACCTCACCTGAATTTCTGAATTCTCTCCCCTTGTAGAAGATTCTCATTTATTCTACCTGGGAAGCAATCGAGTTAGGTTCTGTTTGGAGTCACTGTCATTTATTGTTTTAATAGAACTTTAGCAAAGGGGTGAACCTTCGGCACTATAGCTTCACCTTTTACAGACCATCTTGTATAATATTCACCCCACAGATCTGTTTTTTTAAAGATCTATGTTCTTTTCCACACAGACTTCCTCTCCAGTTGTTACAGGTGGGAAAGAAGTGGTAAGTATGATACTCAAAATTCAGAGCATTGGTTTGGTCGCTTATAAAATGGGGATAATAATGCTGTACCCCCCTTGGGCATTTGTTTTGAGGGGTAAATAAATTTGATGTGTGAACCATTGCCAACCACGAAATCTGGCTCAACTATTATTCTTATGACCAACTCAGCTCAGAATTGGGGGGGCGTGCGAGTCCCAGGTGGATGTCACAGTGTGTTGAACGAAAGGAGCCGGACACGAGAGACTGTGGAAGGCCCTGGAAGGACGTTTTGTTCAGCGTTGTTTCCTTGTCACATTGGAGAGGTGCTGTAGGAATGTAACTCCTGTTTCTGTTAACCAGCCCGTGATGAAACTGGTTTCATTGTGCATTGTTTCACCACCTTCCAAGAACCTCCCTACAATGTTAAGTAAGAACTTACTGTACATACTTTCTACCTGCATCTAGAGGACGTTGAAAAACAGACAAATCTAATGTATGCTGATAGATTTCAGGGTAGTTGTTACACACGGGGTGACTAGAAGGGAGTATGAGGGGGCTTCTGGGGTGCTGGCAATGTTCTGTTTTCTCATCTGGATGCCGGTTACTTGGGCGGGTTCGTCCTGTGAAAGTCATCAAGGTATATGTTTATGATTTATATACTTTTCTGAATTTATGTTATATATGAGAACCGCACATTTATATGGATTCTGCAGATTATCTTTGATATTTCTAGATACTCTGCAAATCTGAAAACTTACGTGGCTATTTCCACTCCGATCAAAACAAAGTGGGAATTTGAAAATTAATTGGTTAATGCATTTAGTGTAAACAAATTTTAAAAATTCACATCAAATGGTGTGGACTATAATAAAATCTCCCCCTTTTTGCCAAACCGATAGGTAAAAATGGTATCTAATTGTTGCTTTGAATCAGGTCTCAGCTTTTCCAATGTTGATGACACATTTGTATTTCTGTTCCTAGGAATGTCCTGTTCATATTCTTTGCCCATTTTCCTGCTGGATTATTGCCTTTTTCTAATCAGCTTAAACTATGTAAATTAAGTCCTTTGAAAATGAGTCATTTGCAATGTACATTGCAAACATTTTTTCAGAATATTTCATTATCTTTTTGATTTTGTATGACACTTAGGGTCCCTGAAGGTTTTTTTTTTAATTACTATTATTTTTAAATATGTTTTTATTGATTTTAGAGAGAGAGGAGGGGAGAGGAAGAGAGAGAGAAGCATCGATGAGAGAGAAACATGGATAAGCTGCCTCCTGCACGCCCCCTACTGGGGATCAAGCCCACAACCCAGGCATGTGCCCTGATGGAGAATCAAACCGGAGACCTCTAGGCGCATGGAATGACTCTCAACCAACTGAGCCACGCTGCCCAGGGCTCTTTTATTTTTAATTAGTTGAATATTTCCTTTATTCTTGAGAGTCTGACCCTGCGTTTCTCTCTGTCAGGACTGCCGGCCCTCCCTTGGATTAGCTGCGGGCATCCCGTCCCTGGTGGCCACCGCCCTGCTGGTAGCTTTACTGTTTACTCTGATTCACCGAAGAAGCAGCAGCAGCAGTGAGTCCACTGAGGTGATTAGCAGCTTCCTTGGGTCTGGAGGCGTTGGCAGGAATCGGTATTTCAGCGAACTGGCTTTTGGGTGAAGTGTATCTGGACTTGTGTCTATGTTCTGAGGACAAGACGGTGGACGTTCCTGCACCTCGATTTCTCAGGCTCATGACATTATGCTTGAGGCAGAGCTGGTTTGTCCTACAACCTCAGCTCACCTGAGGAATCCGTGGCCACAAGGGTGGTACTTGGGGGTGGCAAAATGTGGCAATAAAGAGGGACGCTTGTTGCCATGGTAAACACATGTGTGTACAGTGGATGGGTTTTCTAAAGTCGAGAAACAGAAGGGCACAAGCTTCATAAAGAGGATGGAGGTCATCTAAGGAAGGATGGGAGACAAACAGGTGCTGAGGCGTCTGTGGCAGGTGTATGTCCCGAGTATGTCGCTCTGTTTGCCTTTTCCACATCTGAACACATGTCAGTCACAAGGGAATCTACCGTCCCCACCCCTTCCGAATGCCAGATGGCCCTGGGGACCGCGCTCAGAAGCGAAGGCCACCCAGCCCACATCCAGCCAGGTCCCAGGGTTGTGATACAACCGTGTCGTGTGGACTCTGGGTTCTGATTCCATCCTCTGTGACCATTCCTGGTGTTCTCACAGCAGTAAGCACTCACAGGGAAATAGAAAATCGAGGCTTCAGCCCTGGCTCTGCCACTTTATCATTGACGTGATCCCCGACTAGTGACTTCACCTTTTCTGTGCCTTGATTAGTTCAACTTAGTAGGAGTCATAAAAACTATCCTACCTATTTTAAGAGGTAGGCAAATTTGCAAGGATGAAATGAGATCATGGATGTAAAGATGTGTTGACAAGCTGTAAACTTAACCCATTAAGAAATATTGTGGTTGCTGATATTATTTATTTAAGTAGTAGTTTCTCAACCTCTAGTGCATTTTTAAAATCATCTAGGAGGCTACAAAAGTATCAGTCACCAAAACCAGTTAAAACAGTATCAGACCAGCAGCATTGGTCTTTAAAAAACACAACTTTTTTTATTATTATGGATAATTTTAAACATACTGAAGTAGAAAGAATAATGTGATAAACCTAATTATCAATTCATGGCCAATTGTATTTCATCTCTACTCCCACCCATTTCTCCACACTGTCAACCCTGGATTATTTTTGAAGTAACTCAAAATGGAATTTCTTATTTATGTTTTGGGAGGAGAGAGTTATTATCTATTTGTTTATTGTTTTGTTTTCAAAGTTCTCTGGTGATTGTAAAGTGCACCTAAGTTTAAGCACCACTGATTTTAATCACAGTCATGGGCAAATGATGTGATTTATTCTTCCTTCCTTCCTCCCTTCCTTCCTTCCTTCCTTCCTTCCTTCCTTCCTTCCTTCCTTCCTTCCTTCCTTCCTTCTCTCCCTCCCTCTTTCCTTCCCTCCTTCCCTCCTTCCTTCTCTCCTTCCTTCCTTCCAACTTAGGAAAGTGAGAGGCCATATGAAATTTCAGAAATTGATGACAATCCCAAGATAGCTGAGGTAAGAACTCTTGGTTGCAGTCACTCTGTATCATCACACAGTAAACAAACCTAGTGAAACAAGGGTTTTAAAGCTTTTTTCATTACAGGAGTACGGTGTGAGCACATGTGGAGAAGAGATGACCGAGTGAAACTCAAATAGAGGAGGTTCTCAGTACTTTTATTGGCTGGACAGGAATTCAAGCTTGATTTAATATTAGAAAATCAATTTAATATAATTTATTTTACTGAAAAATTAAAAGGGAAAAATCATGTGACCATCTCAATAGGGAAAGAGACTTCAGAAAATTTAACAGCCATTTGTGGTGTGAAAACTCTTAGCAAACTAAAAATAGAATCTGAACTTTCTTAAATTGAACAGAGATATCTTTTTTAAAAAATTAAATCAAACATCAGACCTAAAGGTAAATTTTTAATGAATTCTCTTTAAGATCAGAAATAAACCAAGGATGCCCACTATTACCATTTCTGTTCCGTATTGTACATTAGGTCCTAGTCACTGCAATAGGGTAAGAAAAAGAAATAGGAAGCAGAAAGCTGAAGAGGAAGAAACAAAACTTTCATTATTTTCAGATGATAGGATTACCTACAGATAAATTGTTAGAATTATCAGGCAGTTCTAACAAGCTTACTGGGTACAAAATCAGTATACATGTCATTTGCATTTCTAAAAATCAATAACAATCAATTAGAAAAAGTAATTTTTAAAAATACAATTTTGTAGTGCCCATAAATATATATATATATATATAGAGAGAGAGAGAGAGAGAGAGAGAAGAACCCTGAGGAATAAATCTAACAAAAACATATAATCCCTTTATGGGGAAAAATAAAACTTTAGTAAAAGATATTAAATAAGACCTGCATAATGGGAATTATATACCATGCTCCTGGATAGGAAAATTCAATAGCATAAAGATGTCAAATGAGCTAAAGTTGGTCTACATAATAAATGTAATTCCAATATAAATTGCAACAGATTTTTTTCTATGGAACTTAATAAGGTGCTTCTAAAATCTATATGGGAGAAGGCAGAAAAAAAAATTAAAAAGTAATAGTGAACACATGGACTAGAAAACAAATAGCAAGATAGTAGATTCAAATCCAACCACATCAATATCTCATTAAATGTAGTTGGTATAAATACCTCAATTAAAAGGCAGAGATATTTAGATTGGATATAAAAGCAAGATACAACTGTATATTATCTACTAAAACTCACTTTAAATATAAAGACACTAATAGATTAAAAGTAAAAGAATAGAAAAACAGATAGCATGCTAACATTAAGCAAGAGAATGTTGAATGGCCTGAAAACCCGCCCAAGGCAGCAAGCTCGGGCAGTTTCTTTTCTGTGTCCCAATCATTGTCCTTCCTTGCCTGATGTCTAGAGTCTTGAAAACTTGTTTTAGATGGTTTGTCTGAATTTTGGTTGTTGTTGGTGGGAGGGTAAATTTGATTGTTGTTACTCCAACTTGGCCAGAAGCAGAAGTCTTTGCTGTATTTTTAAAAAACCTGTTTGTTTTCTCAAGAATCCTAGGAGAGCACCCACACGTGAGAATATGATGGGAGCAGAAGAAGCTCACATATACGTGAAGACTGTAGCAGGAAGTGAGGAGCCCATGCACGACACTTACAGTCCTGCCGTAGAAACGGAGAGAAGGAGGGGGTTGTGGTGGCTTGTGCCCAGACTGAGCCTGGAATGATGCAGCTCAGAGAGCAGAACTGGAGCTGGAACAGAGCTGGAAACCTAGGGATCTGTGCTTGGAGTGAGGAGAGAGGCTAAGCTGCTTCTTAACCAATCCAAATTTCATCGACAGATCTGGAGAATCTTGGATTGATTTGTCTCTTTAGGGGACAGATCTGACAAGATTCATTCTGGCTCTCAGATCTTGTGGTTTAATAAGCAGTGAAGCACCAAGTGAGGTCACTGTGCATCCAGAAGGAGCCCTTGGGTCCTGTTCTTGACCCCAGTGGGAATTGGCGTGTGTGTGTGTGTGTGTGTGTGTGTGTGTGTGTGTGTGTGTGCAGGGTAAATAGTGCTTCAAATGGTTATTAGATATGAGGCTATATCCATTTTGTGGGAGTAGAGAGAAAAGCCCAAGTCCTTGGACTATCATGGGGAAAAGCTCATTGTCAAGAAGAGAGATCCAGAGGACTCAGTACATGAACACCAGGCCAGTGGGGTGGGGCAAGTAGCAATGTGCCTGCCATGTGAGGGAAGCCATGGACAGTGTCAGCCAGCTCGGGCCAGGCCTTCGCCATCACTTCTGTGAGGAAGCTTCCAGGAATCCTGGCCCACCCCCTTACCTCCCCGCTGCACGACCATTGCTCAGGAGGAGGCTGGCTCTCCTGATGGGAGAGCTTGGGTCCAGGAGACCTCAGAGTCCACCCACCAGCTCCATGAACCACCTTGATTGGCCGTGGAAACATTCCTTCCTCACACAGGGCCCCTGATTGCTCAGAAGCACACTCGCCTTCTTCAGATAACCAAGGACAAGTTCTACAAACCCAGTCACTGCCAAATGCTATCCTGTGCTTTGCAAAGCCTCTTGTGAAATTCAGTTTTACTCTAAGTCCCCTGGGTCCAGTCACCTTGACAAGCAGATCTGGCCATTTTGTCTATCAAATGAGGTGTGACGTATACTTTGGGCCATTTATTTTAATCCCACTTACAATCCATTGCTTAGAATTTTTAGTTCAAATTGTTTCTACCAAACTAGCAAGGTTCAGTACTTTTGTCATTTTTTTCTGCTACAATGGACAAAAACTTATTGTGGAATAAAGTGAAAAGTGAAAGTGTCATTCTGAGGGACCTAGAGCACGCCTTTGGTTTTTCTTTGCCTACATTAAAGTACATGACATTGGCCCTGGGGTTGGAACCAAGGTTATCTCAAGGATAACCTTGAGGGTGCTGGCACCCTCTCTGCTAGACAGAGGGCAGCCCATCTTGTGAGGAACACGCTGAGACAGGAAGTCCGAAGCTGCAGCTCCCCAGCCCGCTGCCAGCTTACGGATGGCCTGGGGTCAGTCGCACAATGTGTCTCGGTCTCACTTTTTCATGTACCGTCTGGTGTTTGGATTGGCCTGGAAGGTTACATCTTCCCAGTTCAAACATTCTACTTTTATTTGCCCAAATCCTGCAAACTAAGTCCTCTCCTTCTGCCTCTGAGGTCTTTCTCAGCTCTTGGCTTTGAAGGTGGAGAGACTTATTTTTCTTGCATCCTGCCAATAAATAATAGTTTTGTATAGTTTTCTTTCTGGCATTTATCACTGCAACACTATAATGCGAATTAAAAACCAAAAAACCCATCAATGAATAACTTTTGAAGCACTGGCTATTCATACAGTCTGTGCACTCCCACCATTCTAGTGAGATTTATTGATTAACGCACGAGCTAATTTAACAAATACGCATGGTTTCCCTCATATGTCAAATGAACTGCCAGGTCCTATGACAATATGAGGGACATAATGGAAAGGCTAAAGGCAACTGGGTTTTCTGGAGATGTCTTTCCACATAAATGAACGTGGAGTCTCCTATCCACTCAAGGAAACACTATCAGAAAAGCTCTCATCGAAGTGCTTTCCCTCTAGGCTCAGCCGTGTTCACATTCTCTGCCCAACCAGCTCTGGCATTAACTGTGTGATGCTGGGCAGGTCGGCGCCTCTCTTTAGACCTTGGTTTGTCATCTGTAGAACCAAAGGGATGGACTAGAAGGTCTCAAAGGCCCTGCTCAGTATTCGTGGGCTTCTTACTCCATCTGCCATGATCACGTTGTACTTGCCTCCAAAGGTTCTTCTGGTCACCACCAGAGGGCAGCTGCCCCCAAAGCAGGAGGCACTGAGGACGTCCGGATTCCACCAACTAGTCACCACTTTAATTGATAAAATTCCATTCTAGAGCAAAAAAACGGTGTGGATCCAAATCCTCCCATTATTTCAAACCAACTGGGATCCCTCCTGGGCTTCGGGCCCACATGGCTGTCCACTGTGCCTAAGCCTGTAATGTCCACCTTTCGCTGTAGGTGGCAGTCCTCTCCCTGTTGTGCTCACCGGCCATTTGTCTCTGGCACTGCCATTCCAGGCTTCCCTGTTCCATGATCCCCGCTTTGGAATGTCCGATCAAATGAAACCGGTTTCTCCCCTCGAGATAAATCTTAAACTCTTTATTCTCTCATTTTGTATTTTTGTTTAAAAGTATTTTATAATATTTGAGCGAAAAAAGAAGACTCCACTATCTCGTGTCCTCCTGTTTTTATTGGAAATTTACAGTATTTCAGCTACACTGTGGGCAAATGGGCTTCGGTGAGCTTCCCTGGAAAGGAGCCACCAATTACAACACTGTTTCTATGGCAAAATGCATTGTGAATTGTAAGCAATGGTCATACAAATGGCCTATTAGAGCATAACCCATTACCAGGCAGTGCCTTGTCATGTTTCCAAAACAACTTATTCTAGCAGCAATCTGCATTTCAGTAAGACTTAGGAATCCCCAACTTTCTTAAGGCATTGCTAACTAAAATATGAAGCATATTTATTTAACCTGAAAAAATTTAAAATGTCAACATACTTTTCTAAGCATTTCTTTCCCATGGATCAATGTAATCCAATCCCAGGTGTGCAAAAATTTCTTCTTCACTTTCTGCTTTGAGAAATATCCTCTGAAAGCATAACAAGAAATAGGTGCATTCAGATATTTTTGTTAAGCATCTCAGTGCTAACATAGTGAAAGTTTTACTAGTAAAACTATCTTATCAAAATGAATTATTGACAAAACAGAATTCCCTGCTTCTGAGCATTAAAAGTCATCTTAACCCACTTCCGTAATTTTTATATTCTCCCACCCCAAAACATGACACTTAATACATTAAGGTGAAATTATGACAGTCTTATATATTCAGCTAAAGGCACTTGGTCTTTTTCCTGTGGATCTGTAGTTCTTAACCATAGTTGTTCATTAGAGCCACCTGAAGAAGTTAAAAAAAATATTGAAGCTTGAGCTATAGCCAAGTCTAATGAAGGCAGAATCTCAGAAGAGTTCTAGTCATCAATCTATTTAAAAGCTCTGGGTAATTCTAATGTGCAGCCAAAATTCAGTACTGTTGCTATAGGTAATGAAGAGTAGCAAGATTTGGATACTTACGTGTGTTGGGTTCTCCTCCTGGCCTTCCACACTGCCCTCACCCCCACCAGGCTCCCACCCTGTGTTCTCTTTAAGACCAAACACCACTTCTCTTCTATCCCATAGTGGGGTACATGGGAGAGACTCGATTATGTTGAACTATTTATTATACGTCAATTTGTAAGTATTCCTAAGTAGGGTTATGTGAATCTGCCTCCACTCGTGCTCAACATCCCACCAGCATCCACAGCCCTCTCTTCTGACAAGAGCACCTTGATTTTTCTTTGGGAACCTCCCCAACTCCCACTCTCAGTCCACGAGGGTCAGGTGGGGCTGATCTCACCTCTAAAAAGGGGCACATAATCCAAGCCTGGCCCATCAGAGCCACAGGAGTGGGTTCAGGGTGGGCACATGGTCCAGGCCTGGCCAATGAGCATCAGCTCGGGCTCTTGCTGGAACTACTAAGAAAGAGGCTCTTCCCTGTTGGAGCAGCTAAGCTGGAAGGATGGGACTCAGGGGAAAACCCTGCCTAAGAATGAAACCAGCACTGAGGGAAACCTGCCTGAGCGCCTGGATGCAGCCACACCTGAAGTCAATACCACCTGGATGCTGCAGTACACAAGCCAGATTCCTCTCTTGTGCCCATGCCATTTTTGATTGGGTTTCTGACACTTGTAATGGAGATAGTTCTAACTAAATACATCTTATTTAGACTGTAAGCTCCTAGAGGGCAAAGACTACTACTTCTAGTTATTTTATGTCTCCTTTCCCCTCAGAGCTTAGTTTAGTGTCCTTGACCACTGTAAGAGCAGTAGACCTTGGCCCTTGTGGATTAACAGTTGAATATTTAACTCTTTATAATTGACACAGTAATTTCTCATTTAGCTGATGCGTGATTTTGAATTGTGGCCTTTGCAAGGCTAGCATGCCAAATGAGTAACATGGCTGGTGAGTGAGCCTAACTGACCGCTCGGCAGTGTCTCAGGGAGGCTCTGTTGCTCTCCTTGCAGTAGGTTCTCATTAATTACCTAAGTGGTCACTCACAACGCTATATCTGAGGAGTACTTGAGTGGTATTTGTGATTTGGGGGATCCTTGGTTTTCTTTGGAGTTCCTTGCTGCAAACACCGAGGATATACTAAGCTCAGTTAATATCACTGCTGGACTGGTTCTGGGGACCCTACAAGCTCATCACCTTTGAGCCCAATACCCCTGAGGTGCATTCCGGGCCAGGTGGGGGGCTGTGCTCCCATCAGGGTCTTTCCAGCAGCCCTTGGCTGTGATCTGTGGGAACAGGACACTCCAGGCAAAGGAAACTGAAACTGGACATTAAAATCAGTTCAGGAGAAGTGCTCAGGGGACCAGCCTTGGGGGTGAGGGTCAAAGTGGCCCATCTGAGGGAGACAACTCTACCTTGGTCTTGTCATACAGAGCGTGGTTATCTAGCATCATCTTCCGCTCGTGTGTGGCGTAGCGCCGGAGGTCTCTCTCAAATTGCTGGACAAGGGCAGATAAAATAGGTTACTATCAAGTCTAGAATGTCTTCAGTATTATGGGTTTCGAGACATCTAAATCCCTAAAATGGAATATCGATCTCAACACTAAACATTCCACAAAATGGATTCTGTTCAGAATAATATCTAGTGTAGGGTGAATGCTGGTTAAGTAATTGTTGGGGTTTGTTTTTGTTTGTTTTTTAATTTGGAATATCACTATTTCAAAAGAGGATGGGGAATCAGGAGAGCAGATTCCAGCCTGGATTTTGTCTCTATCTGGCTGTACATCTCTCGACAAGTCACCCAGCCTCTCTGAATCTTGGTTGGTCAAACAGGATGATGGAAGAAGAGCTTGAGGAAAGTCACCTTTGGCTCTAACATCCTCTCATATGAGATTCTGTAAAACTGATGGTCTGAGCCACCTGCCCCAGGGTAGCATCTCCTATGATCAGAGGTGGACTCTGAAGCCTCAGGGAGCAAAACCTGAAGCTTCAGCTAGGGGACAGGAACGCCTTGGAACAGGAGGACAATCAGTGAAGTTCTCATTGAGGTCAATTTTCCTGAGAAGCATAAATCTAGAAATACTGTCCTTTCCATGTGGGAATCAGGTGAAAACAAGGGACAAGTGCGCCCTCTAGTGGCGAGGAACTTTTTTTTACTACAGGAAAGTGGGCTGAAGCTGGGAACTGCCCTTCTAGACCACCACTTGGATGTGTGAGAAGACAGCCTTTCCAACCAGAAGGCCTTTATAATGCAGCAGAGGGGAAGCCAGGGTTGTTGAAAAATTGGGGTGAAGCAGATTCTGGGTGCTGTAGCTGCCGGTCTGTGAAAGTAGTTGAGTGTTGCTTAGCACAGGGCCTCCTCCCCAGCCCTGGGTCACTCTCCTCCTATTCTACCACACTTAGAATAGTGGGAGTCTGGAGAGGGAGGGGATAATGGGGGCACTGAGAGGCTGCCCTTGGCTCCCCAGTTCTGTGTGGGGAGATATATTCTGGACTTCTGTGCTAAAATGTCAGGAGGACTTGCCTATACACTGTTAGGAATTATAATGATGGCTTTCATTTGGAGAGTGATAATGTTTACTCAACAAATATTTGCTGAGCATCTATTATGTGCCAGGTGTGTTCTGGGTGCTTGGAATAATTCCAGCCCCAAAACAAAGACACCTGACATTTAACTCAAGGTTGAGGACAATTCATTTGTGTTTATGTCACTCATCTTCTGTATAAAAACCTCCAAGGACACATTTCTCTCAGAGTAACAGCCAGCTGCTTTGGGACACCAGTGAAACAGTGTGGGGGACTTAGTTCGGAGGGTGGAGCAGTGCTAATGAGACTCAAATCAGGGGCTCCATCTCTGTGACTATCAAATGACCAGAGCTGGGAGCTGCCGCTTGGCCAGCCTGACCGTGTACCAGGCGTGTGCTGAGGGCTTTGCCAGCTTCACACTTTCTTGTTGGGAAAACTAAGACTTACAGGACCTAGAGAACTTGTCCTGGATCACCCAGCTGCTAAGAGGCAGTGCAGGGACTTTGACCAGGTCTGGGATGGCAAATCTGTGCTCTTAGCCACCATGCTGCTTTCTCAGCTTCTGTGGTTCTCACACTTCAGCTGCTTTGGGATCTATCTGAGGGCTTTTCAAATACAAATTTGCTGGGCTCCACCTCCAGAGTTTCGGATTCAGTAGGCGTGGGTGGGGTAGAGAATTTACACGTCTAACCTGCTCCTAGGTGAGGCTGATGTGGCTGGTCCAGGGACCACACTGTTCTAAATTAATCTGCCTCACTTGACCATGTGCAGGTGGAATGCCCGATTTAGAGGTTTCTGGGCACTGTCCACACTCCTGTCACCCCGCCCCCTCCCCCGGCCACTGTCACTGCTCCGGGCTGCCCCAGGCAGGGCTTACCCGGGAGCCTGTCCAGCCCAGCAGAGCAAAGGCGCGGCGCTCGTAGGGGCACATGACCAGGTCCACGCGGATGGCCTTCCACGGCTTTCCTCCCTGCAGGTCGGGCTGGCCACTGTCCACGCTCGGGTGGTGCAATTTTAAAATCAGAAAGCATTTTTGGAAATGATCTAAGGCATCCACCTTCCTGCTAGGCAACTTGAATTTTTCAAACGTCGACTCCACAAGGTCGCAGTATAAAAGCCATCCCTGAAAACAAACAGAAAGGCGTCAGGACGGGTCCTCAGTGGACAAGGTCCTCGGTTTTACACCCGGCTCTACGGAGTCCAGCAGAACGTGGGTGCGTTTTGTCCTTGTGCTGTGAGCCCACCTGACCATGCTCGGAGAGGAAGCCAAGGCCTGTGTATTATCCTCACTCTGAAGCCAAGAAAACTGGAGATTAGAGAGGCCCAGNGCTTACCCGGGAGCCTGTCCAGCCCAGCAGAGCAAAGGCGCGGCGCTCGTAGGGGCACATGACCAGGTCCACGCGGATGGCCTTCCACGGCTTTCCTCCCTGCAGGTCGGGCTGGCCACTGTCCACGCTCGGGTGGTGCAATTTTAAAATCAGAAAGCATTTTTGGAAATGATCTAAGGCATCCACCTTCCTGCTAGGCAACTTGAATTTTTCAAACGTCGACTCCACAAGGTCGCAGTATAAAAGCCATCCCTGAAAACAAACAGAAAGGCGTCAGGACGGGTCCTCAGTGGACAAGGTCCTCGGTTTTACACCCGGCTCTACGGAGTCCAGCAGAACGTGGGTGCGTTTTGTCCTTGTGCTGTGAGCCCACCTGACCACGCTCGGAGAGGAAGCCAAGGCCTGTGTATTATCCTCACTCTGAAGCCAAGAAAACTGGAGATTAGAGGCCCAGCCAAGGCCAGTTCACCCCAGAGCTGCCAGAGAATCTGCCCCCAGCTTCTGACCCAAGGCCAGTGCTCAGCAACTTGCCTCACCCCTTTAAGAACAAATCGACCGTGAACAAAAAATCAGGCTGTTTGTATGCGGGTGCATCTCATTGCTTGTCAGCTGTTGCAGATAATTGGGAATTGATTAGTCATTATAGGATTGTGAGATAAATAGTGTGCGAAGTTCAGTGGCATTAATATAACGCTTGAGTGCCAAACATTCACTGTCGATCTCTCCTCTTACCTTTTTTTCCCATAAGTTCATGACTTTAGGTAAAAGTTGTTGCTCTTCTTCCTCTGTTGCTCCTGGGCTGGTAATTAAAAAATCTACATCATGTCCAATCTTCTTACCCCTGATTGCAAAACAGTAGAAAAATGGAAATAAGTTATATTTTTAGCTCTCAACTTTTAACGGCCACCTTTCTTTTTATGCCTTATGCTTAAGGTTTGCAACACAAAATGCTCCTGACATTAAAAAATATATATATGTCCTTGGTTGTACAACTTCCCACCTTGCAAAATAAATTTATGGCACACAAAAAAATCAAAAAATCATACATGGATATGATCATGTGGGGGGGATAAAAATGACAAAGATTATTTCTTCTGCATGCTCACATGTGCACCCCCAACACACACACATGATCATATACATGACAACAAGCAAGCCAAGAACTATATGCACATAATATAAGATCAGGCCCTTAGAATTATGACGTAGATTAAGGGCCCAGCTTGCCAGAATCGCCAACAACACCATGTAAGACAGCCAAAAAGAGAGGGGAGGGTGTGAGGGGGAAGGAATCTGTTTCTGAAAACAGAGCCTTCAAAATCCAACTGCACACATCTCTGTGGGGAGTTCATTCATTCATTCATTGGCTCAACCAATATTTTTGAGTGCCCACTTTGCACCAGGCACCAGGCACCATGCACTGGTTCTCACTGAGCACTAAGCTCTAAAATCTTGGTGGGAAAAGCATGAGTACAAACATGTTATTTGGCAGCTGTCCAGGAAGCACTGAGAAGGGATGCCTAGCACAGCATTGGGAGGAGGGAGTCAAGGAAGGCTTTCTGGAGGAGGTGGCATTTGAATGGAATCTTAAAGGATGAAAAGAAATCGGCCAGGTAACGATTTGAGGAAAGCCAATGCAAGCAGAAGGGTCGGGCTGAGCAAAGTCACAGACGCAAGAAACAGCCCTGTGTGTGCAGACAATGACGAGCTATTTGAGGTTGCTGAGGAATGCGAGGTGCAGGAAACGAGGCTACAGAGAGAGGCCGGGGCCAGAGCACTGAAGGCCTTTTGTGCCATGTTAAAAAGCCTGAATTTCTGAACATAGGGAGCCACTGAAGGTGTTAGAGCAGGGGAGGCAAGAGCAACCCTCGTTATTTACCTCCGGAATCCTCCTGTCACGGTGACGAAGGCATCCGGGAGAAACGCCCACACGGCCTCTTTGACCAGCACGCTGACAGCCTCTGCTTCGGCCTTGGTCACACAGCTGACCAGGTCTTCATAATAGAGGAACCCTGAGTGGCCATTGGACAGGTCAGTGGAGAGATGACCAGCCCTCAGTGGCAAGGGGTTCTGGCCCCTCCCTCATACAGCTGGCATGGCTATAGGCAACAATGCCAGTTATTTCTGTTCTCTTGGTTGTGAATTTTTCATGGTAACAATGGCTCTTTGCTTTCTGACTGAGAGGTTCACAATTTCCTAAGAAAGAGACAGCCTTGTACATCCCTGTAGAAAACAAGCGGTTCAAATCCAACTTCCTATGGAAGAACCAGCCCTCTCGATCAGTAAGCCGCACCCTATTATTTAAAGAAGACAATGCATAGAGATTTGGGATGGGAAGGTCCTGGGCTGGGAGGTGATAGATGAATTTAAAAGCTAAGGTCAAGACTAGGAAGAGGGTAGATTTGCATCTGAGGTGCGAAACGTCTTTGGTGGTCTGGCTTGTTGCTTCTTTGACCACCTCGAGTAAGTGAAAGCTCAGACAGGACTGTCACGATGAAGACTTGTTGTAAGGACTTGGTGTTTCCCACAGACCCATGGAGGGAGGTGTGGGGCGCAGGGGAAAAGGAGATGGAAGCCTTGTCTCCAAGAGCTGGGATGAAGCTTTGGAAGAGAAGTGAGCAGAGGTGCAGGGAGCAGACTCACAGATCCCGAGGGACAACAAATGGCCCTTCAGTCCAAGGCACTGCTCTCTTACCCAGGATCCCCAAGAGGGAGTCGTTCAAACTCTGCTTGAACCCCTCTGATAATGGCAGGCTGTGATACCTCCAGAGGCAGCTATTTCCTGATCATAAAATCTGTCTGGACAGTTTTATCAAGGTATAATTGACAAATAAAGATCGTATATATTTAAGGTTTCCAATGTAATGTTTTGATATACATATATTGTGAAATGATTACCGTAATCAAGCTAATTAGCATACAATGGAATATTATTCAGCCTTAAAAAAGAAGAAAATCTTGTCATTTGCAACAACATGGATGAACTGGAGAATGTAATGCTAAGTGAAATAAATCACACAGAAAGACAAATATTGCATGATCTCACTTATATGTGGAACTGAAAAAATCTAACTCTTAGAAGTAGAGTGTAGGGGCTGGGGGTGGGGTGGGGAATGGAGAGACCTTCATCAAAGGCTACAAAGTTTCAGATACACAGGATGAATGAGTTCTGTGTGATGTACTTAAAATTGCTAAGAGAGTAGGTTTTAATTCTTCTCAACCCCATTCAAAAAAGAGGGGGGGCATCCAAAGTTCTTGCTTCTGATGAGCTTAAGTCTATTTCCTTGCAGTTTTACCCATCACAGGCCCTCTGGAAAGATGTGGGGCAAGTCTATGGGTTCCTATTTCTCACCTCCAGGATCATGGGAGGGCGGAGGTAGGGAGGCCATTCGGCTTAAACATCATGGGCACAAAATTCTCAAATCCAAACATCACATGTTATCTCTAAATGAGGACAGTTGCTTAAACACGTTGGCAGGACCAAGAGAAGATGATATTTACACTAATACATCTATTAACTGTGACCAACACCAAACCACACTGCTTATAGAATACTATTTTTTTATATCAGTCCTAAAACTCTCTCTCTCTGCCTTTTGTAAAGTCACATTTAAATATATATGTGTGTGTGTGTATCTTAATTGATTTCAGAGAGAGGAAGGGAGAGGGAGAGAGAGATAGAAACATCAATGATGAGAGAGTCCTTGATCGGCTGCCTCCTGCACGCCCCCCACTGGGGATCGAGCCCGCAATCCTGCGTGTGCCCTGACCGGGAATCAAACCGAGATCTCCCGGATCCTAGGTCGGTGCTCAACCACTGAGCCACACCCAGCCAGGCAAGCCACATATTTTTGAATTGCAATATGCACATTTTTGTACATTGGGATTTTGATCTCTAAAGCAGTGCTTCAAGGGAGTTGCTGCCCAGTGGGTCCAAAGTTTCAGTTATGCAAAACTGGAAAGAACTCAAATGCACACAAATAGGAAATAAGTTATTATACCAATGGAGAAAAACCACTAAGAGGGTAGATCTCATGTTAAGTGCCCTTACTAGAATAAAAAAATCAATTTAATAAAATTAAATACATAATTTATTAATGTGAAAAAATAAAAAGCAATGTTCCATTAGATTTTTTATTCATACAAAATATTTCATCATGGCTGATAGTCAAACTGCAACTCACTTGGGAACCATAAAAGTCCTGTGTTTACTCAGGATGTACATACAGCAAAAGTCACGATTAACAACAATTTCTTTAAGGAAATGTGCAGATATCCGGAATGAATGTGCAGAGGCTCTAATAACTTGTTGACACGTGGGAAGGCAACTTTATTGATTTTCTTGCTTTCCTTTTTGGCATGGCTGGGAAGGATAACTTATTACAAGAAACAATACACTGAGTAATGTTATGTGTGCTGCAATATTTCACACATTGACTGTTCCAGGTCGATGTGGCATGTGAGTCCTCAAGCCTCAGGGAGCTAAAACCAAGTGCAACTAAGTACAACTGAACCAGGTTTTCCATCTGATCATACTTTCAACATGTTCAGTTGGCTTATTTAGCTTACACTTTGTCGTATTCTAAACTATTCCCATCGACAATTCCATTCATTGTAGTGCTGCTAAAGGGATACATGTAGTCGGGTTTTAAGCTATAAGTATGATAGAAAGACATTCCTAGAGTTCTACATAAAACACAACTATTGAACAGTCTGATGGCCATCATGAATTGATTAAGTGACTAACAGCTGCTTCATTCACTGCCTGGAAGAGCCCAATAGGAAAAGAAAATTCCAGCTTACAAAGCTGGGGAATTGGAAGCTTAGATCCTGAGAGCCTCTGGTGTAACTTGATAAGGGTTTTTATCTATGTTAAACGCTACATTGTCACCCCAAACTTTCTCTGTGCTGAGAGTCCTTTCTATCATTTCAAGCCACTTGTTACTTATGTTTAATACTTATGTAAATTTCTTTTTAATGGCATCTTTAGAGCTGGTTGGTATCCATCACTCTTACTAAGTGTGTACTTTCAGGAGCCAAGAATATAAATACTGGGTCTTTTTTTCCCCTCAGGCTGTCAGAGGTTAGCAACTTGGCAAAAGGTGAGTAGGGGTCTTCTATAGCGGCATCAATGTGAGCCACCCAGTTTTCATTTGTTTCCTCTCCTGTTGCTTGTTTCTTTTCATCACTTAAACAGAAGATAGCTGTTTTCTTTTATTTCTAGTCTCTCCTTGTAGAAGATCCCCTTTCTTTCATATTATTAAAAATGTTGAAAACTTCATCATTCTTTGTAACTCAGAAGCCATAGGGGTCACGACTGTGTATATGATGCCCTTTCAAATCCCAATTAAGCTGTATTTCTATTGCATGTTAAAAGTAAATATTTAAAACATACAATTTTTTTAACTGTGTATCGGCATTTCTTCATTTAAAAAACATTTAGCAGGACCCTCCCTAAACGGAAGTGACCAAGCCACTTTCAGTCTCCGGGAGGCCTCACCAGGCTTTCAGGATGCCTGTGTCAGCACCGTCTTCTCTTGTCAGATTAATGAGTCTGATTGGGTGGTTCAACCCTGTGTCTGGATTTCCACTGTTTCCTTTCTATGTCCTTATGTTCCACTCTTTCTAAAATAGATCCACACTTATGCCAGGCAACAACATTATTCAAATGTGCTTTACTCACCAACCCTCCATGTCAACTTTCTTCCCTCTACTCTTCTCCGATGCCTCCTACCCAACCAGGACCCAAAGGGTCAGTTCACTAAGAACCAGATCAATAGTGCAACCTGGTTTGACATCTGGACATAAAGGAATGACAACCAGCACTCAAAGAGCATTATTTGCTCTGTGTTGGACACAACGCTAAGGACTTTGCCTACGTTATCTGATTTATTTCCCACTTAAGTACCAATGTTACCTTCCTTTTGTAGATGAAGTAACTTAGGCTCAGAGATTTTAACAAACTTACTCAAGATCACATAGCTGGAGCCAGGATTTGGATCCAGGGCTGCCTGATTCCAAACGCATTTGCTTTTAACCATAGCATGAAAAGAGGCCAAACAAGCAACTCAGCTCATGGGGATTAGAGTTGAAATTCAGCTGACATACAGCTCTCCCACGACCTGCCCAGCCTACGGTAACAAAGAGAGATTTTTAGGAGACACGATTTACCTGCTTTCTGCATCCGTGTGAATTTCAGGGTTGTATCCGACTTTATTTTACTCAGGGTTCTGAAACCCATCCTGAACCATTTCTCAGATGTCTTCAGTCCCACTCCAAATACAGAAGTAAAAAGCTGGAACATAAGGAAAGGCATGCCTTCAGTTCTAACATAGTCATGACCATGAAGCGATCCTTTTCAAGGTCAAGGGATTAAGAAAAAGTGTAAACAAATCTCTGCCTGACCCAGTTTCTCCTGAATATGACAAGTGGGTGGGTGATAGTAATTTGTTAGAGAGAGTTTTGTTTCAGGAGGGTCCTTTCCTGATACATGAAACAGACATGAGGAGGCAGGTTCTGGCATCTGCATAGGGCTGCCCTGTAATCGGATCATGGGATGGCCTGTGCTGTCCACATGTGGCAACAGCTATCCCTATCCACACTTCCTTTGCCAAGGGTCCCTTACACACACTCATGCTCTGCATATTTATCCTCACAATTTAAAGAGGGATGTGCATGTGGGCTGCATGAATTCTCCACCGTTGCACAGCTGGTGAGTGGCAGAGCCCAGACTCAAGCCGGGTCTGTTTGCACTCCAAGCCCGGCTCCTGTCCACCGCTGCCTTTTAGGCCTGTGCGTCACTTCTGAACTGAAGGGACTGGCAGGGGTCTCTGCAATTCCAAGGTAAGAAACATTGGGAGGTAATGAACCCTGCTTCAAAGTAGACAAAGAAGCACAAGGAGCTTTCCAACACAGGTTGGCTCTTTAAGAGCAGGTTTGTTTTGTCCTATGGTTGTCATGTCCCCATGATATTTGTCCCCATGAGTGACAGACTCCAGGAAGGCAAGATAATTTGTATCTCGTCATAGTGTGGCAATAAGCTCCAGCACCCGTGCTTGTTTAGGCACCTGCTTCCTAGACCATTGCTATGGACTGAATTGCACCCAACGAAAAACTTCATATGCTGAAGTCCACCCCTCAAAGGGATGGTATTTGGAGAAGGGGCCTTTGGGAGGTAATTAGCTTTGGATGACATCATGGGGGTGGGGCTATAATGATCGGATTAGTGACCTTATAAGAAGAGAAACCTGAGAACTTGTCTTCTCTCTATGTCATATGAGGGCACGTTGGGAAGGAGGCCACCTGCAAGCCAGAAAGAGAGCCCTAACCAGAACCCAACCATGCTGGCACCCTGATCTAAGAATTCCAGCCTCCAGAACTGGGAGAGAAGAAATATTTGTTAGTTAAGCCACCCAACCCATGGCATTTAAAAAAAAAAAAAAAATCCTCATCCGAGGATATACTTTTCATTGATTCTAGAGAAAGAGGAAGGGAGAGAGAGAGAAACATCAATGTGAGAGAGAAATATCGATTGGTTACCACCTGAATGCACCCCAACTGGAGATGGAGCCTGAGTATGTGCCCTGACTAGGAATTGAACCCTCAACCCTTGGTTGTACAGGATGATGCTCCAACCAAAGAGCCAGGGCAGTCCATGGCATTTTGTTAGGGCAGCCCAAGGTGACTAATACCACCACCTGGAATAAGTGATAGGATTAACTGAAAAAACATTTTTTGAGAAATGTATGTAAAATCACTTACTTTGAAGGACTGATATCGTTCATTATTTAACACAGCTTTAACTTCAGAGCTTTCTCCATCTTCAATAATTTCCTGCATAGACAGTTGGAAAATATTTTAAATTAGTGATGTTGGACAGTCACAGTCCAAGGTGTGCAAATTCACAGGTCTAATAGCTTCACTTTTCATAAAATGCACACCTGTTGTGTGGTGGGTGTTTCTCTAGCTTATCCAGAGAAAACAAGACACTTCCTTTTAATGCAAAAATCCCAGATCATTATATTCCCAAGTATCGCTTTACAATCCTCAGGAACAAAGGTATAGAATGATTCTGGCCCAAATCTACAGAACACTACACCAGAATATTCACTGACCAAAGTGGGTCTAAATATTTGTGATAATTTCTTTTCAATGGGCATGAACTTGCTGAAACAAAGACTTTTCTTGTGAGTGGATTACTTGGGGACCTATTGAAAAGCCAACCCAAAGTTCAAGCCCTTCTGCTGTCTGGCTCAGAGCCACCTTCCCTCCTCTAGATAGAGTTAAGATTATTTATCTTGAATAATTGACTTTGCACTTGACTATACTGAAACATGCTCCTGGGTACTTGCCTTGCTGGGGAATCCTTCCACATCATTAAGTAAATAAATACTCACCCCTGCCTCTCTATCTGCAATATCCATGCAGAGATGCAGAATCTACTCCACTGCCTGTTACACCCACCACCATTCTGGAGGGTGACGTCCCTGATGGAACTGAGGTCCTTCACCCAGCCTGTGTCTGAAGTCATACCATTCCCTGCTGTTGAGCTTTTAAGTCAATTGAATCTTTACTGTGATTAATAATAATACAGGAGAGCTCTTTTTCCACTTAGCTGGCCCCATATATCTCCAGCTGTTATAATATTGGTTATGGATTCTATCATCTATCTATCTATCTATCTATCTATCTATCTATCTATCTATCTAATCTATCAATCATGTATTTATCTATCTTTCATCTATCGCCTATCTGATCTTTTGAGAGAAAGGAAAATAAGTCATGAATACATCTACATAGTTGACAGAAAAATCTATTCTCTCTCCCT